AAAAAACAGGGAAAAAAAAAAGGCCCCCTTTTACACCCAAAAAACCACATTCTCCCTATTTAAGGAATTCTTTATAAAAGAGGCCCTTTTTGTAGGTGTTTTGACTGTTTTGCCCCTGATTTTTAAATGGGGAATACTTACCCATAAAAGGTAAAACAGTCATTAATCATGAAAAAAGGGGCTATTTTTTTACTTGATTTTTAAGTGGGGAAAACTTAACCCCCAACACCTACATAGGGGCCATGAGCAATTTCCATGGAAAAAAAATTCTATGAAGTTTAAATAGGTCTACATTAACACTCTAGGCCCAAAAAGCTATTAGAAGTTTGGAACCAGGGTTTGGGTAATTGGGTTAATGCTTTTGGTATCTATGGATTTTTAGGTCCTCGGTCTTTAACAATAAAATGGGCTTTGGCCCAAACTAGTTCTTTTATCGAAAAGAGTTGACTCGGATCTAAACCGAAGTTTGCAACGGCGATTCCAATTGAAATTATCCAAAATCCGGTTCGTATGAACTATGAACTGAATCACGTCCATTCTAAAATTCCAGCCAAAACCCTAACCCTAACCTAACTCTCACTCTTCTCTTTAATGGCGAGTAAGAAGAAGAAAGAGAGAAAAAATATGAGAAACAACAAAAGAAGAAAACTTGGAAAAAAACCAGAACATAAAACCACAACCACCACCATCACTACTCCAATACCCAAAAAGAAAATCGAAAAATCTCCAATTTCAAATTCTGACATAATTATATCAAATTCCGACAAAATTCAAAAGCTTCTAGAACCTTACAACAAGGATCAATTAATTGATTTTCTTTGCGATGCATCTGTAAGTGATTCAACTCTTTTAGCAAAAATTAGATCAATTGCAGACCAAGATGTTTCACATAGAAAAATATTTGTTCATGGTCTTGGTTGGGATACAACTAAAGAAACATTACTTGCTGCTTTTCAATCTTTTGGTGAAATTGTAGAATGTAAATTAGTTCTTGATAAAGTTACTGGTAAAGCAAAAGGGTATGGATTTGTTTTATTCAAGTCTAGAATTTCTGCAGCGAATGCGCTGAAAGAGCCACAGAAGAAGATTAATAATAGGTATGCATCTTGTCAGTTGGCATCGATTGGTCCTGGACCACTGCAACAGGTTCAGGATACAATGGGGAGGAAAGTTTATGTGAGTAATGTTCATGCTGATGCTGATCCTGAGAAGCTTAGGGGGATTTTTGCAAAGTTTGGGGAGATTGAGAATGGGCCTATGGGATTCGATATTCATACAGGGAAGTCGAGAGGGTTTGCGTTGTTTTTGTTCAAAACACAAGAGGGAGCTAAGAAAGCACTTGAGGAGCCGTATAAGATGTTTGAGGGGCATCAGTTGCATTGTCAATTAGCTAGTAAACCGACTATGCAGCAACCACAACAACTACAACAACAACAACAGCAAATGTTGCCGCAGCAGCAACCCGCACAGGCTTCAGTGTTGGCTGCTGCTGCA